TCGATTCTGATTCTTGACAACACTGTGTATGCCAGAGTAAAACTGCATGCTACACTTTTTCTTTCTTTTTTTTTTTTTTAATTTAAGGTTTTTATTGTGGATTGAGTGAAAGTTTACAGGGCATATCATCAGTTTCACATTCAACAATTCATATAACTTGTTTCATTACATTGATTATAATTCCCTCCATATACCATCAGTTAAAAGTATTTCTCTTTATCTACTTTAGCTTTTTTTAAAAAAACAATGCCACACTTTTTCAATGGGTGGTTTTTAGGAAGTAGTTTGCCAGACCTTTCTCCCGAGGTATCTCTGGGTGGGCTTGAACTTCTAATCTTTTGGTTAATAGCCTAGCATGTCAACCATTTGCACCAACTAGGGAGCTCAGTGATTGAATTCTCGCCTTCCATGTGGGAGAATTGTGTTCAATTCCCTGCCACTGCACCCTCCCATCTGTCAGTGGAGGCTTGCATGTTGCTGAGCAGTTGCCAGCGGAGTTTCCAGATTATGGCAGACTAGAAAGAAAGGCTGGAATCTACTTCTGAAAATCAGCCAATGAAGACCTTGCGGCTCACAGCCTCTAATCAGCAGCCAATCTTGGGGGTGACACAGGACTAGTTAGCATTAGTTTGTGTGCATGAGGTTGCCACAGTTGGGGGCTGACTCCACAGTTGTTGTTGTTAGGTGCCATCAAGTCGGTACCAACTCATAGCGACCCTATGCACAACAGAATGAAACACTGCCCGGTTCTGGGCCAACCTTACAATTGTTGACATGCTTGAGCCCATTGATGCTGCCACTTTATCAATCCATCTTGCTGGGGGTCTTCCTCTTTTTTTTCTGACCTTCCACCTTACCAAACATGATATCCTCCTCCAGCAACTGGTCCCTCCTGACAATATGTCCAAAATATGAGAGACAAAGTTTGACCATCCTGGCCTCCAAGGAGCACTCTGGCTGCACTTCTTCCAACACAGACCTGTTTGTTCTTTTGGCACTTTCATTATTCTCCTCCAACACCATAACTCAAAAGCATAACTCCTGTCTTCCTTATTCATTGTCCAGCTTTCACATGAGGTTATTGAAAATACCATGGCTTGGGTCAGGCACACCTTAGTCCTCAATCTGACATTTAGCTCTTTAACACTTTAAAAAGGACTCGTGCAGCAGATTTGCCTAATGCAGTATGTCGTTTGATTTCTTGACTGCTGCTTCCATGAGTGTTCATAGTTGATCCAAGAAGAATGAAATCCTTGACAACTTCAATCTTTTCTCCGCTGATAAGAACGTTGTTTATTGGTCCAGTGGTGAGGATATTTGTTTTCTTTGCATTGAAATGCAATCCATACCGAAGGCTGTGCGCTTTGATCTTCATCAGTAAGTATTTTAAGTCTTCTTGACTTTCAGCTGCATATTGCAGGTTGTTAATGAGTCTTCCTCCAATCCTGATGCCACGTTTTTCTTCATAGAACCCAGCTTCTCAGATTATTTTCTCAGCATACAGATTGAATAAGTATGGTGAAAGAATACAACCCTGTCGCATACCTTTCTTAATTTTAAACCATTCAGTGTTCCTATGTTCTGTTCAAACAACTGCCTCTTGGTCCATGTACAGATTCCTCATGAGAACAATTAAGTGTTCTGGAATATTCATACTTCATAATGTTGTCATGATCCACATAATCAAAAGTCTTTTCGTAGTTGGTAAAGGAAGAAAGCAAAAATTCATTAAGAAGACTGGTTCTGGTTTGGGCACCTGCAGAGACAGCCAGCTAGGAAAGGCTCCATGGAGGAGGGATTGAAAACCCATAGAAGCTGCGCTCACGGAATACCACCAGAGCTCTGGATCTACCATAAGGTCCAGGACATCAGTTTCCCGCACTCACAAGTGAAAAAAATCATGATATAAAGGAAAATACTGTGAGTTAGGAATCCCTGGAGACCGGACTCCCTCTGTGGCCACCCCGCCTGAGTGGAGTTCAGAGGGCGGGGCTACAGCCAGACCAGCACAAGGAACTGGCCTTAAAAGTGGTGCGGTGACATTTGCAAAAGGAGGTGCGGGGGATTCTACACAATTTCCCCCTCCTATTCCCTGTTGCACCTTCTTTTCCCAGCCTGGATGCCTTCGGGTAGGTGAGTGTGCACACCCCCCACAAAAAAAGTCCAGTGCTGACCCCAAACTTTTCCCACTGTACAGAGAGAAAGAGCTTGGTGGTTATTTATATCATCAGCCTCGGGGTCACAGCCCTAAAATTAATTTGTGCAGGACCTTTTACTTTCTTCATTAAGAAGATAAGAAGGAAATGATCAAAATGGATGTCAGAAGAGACACTGAAACTTGCTCTCCAGCATAGAGATGCTAAAGCAAATGGAAGAAATGAGTAGATACAAGAACTGAAAAGAAAATTTCAAAGGTCAGGTCAAGAAGATGAAGTCAAATATTACAACGAAATGTGCAAAGATCTGGAGTCAGAGAACCAAAAGGGAAGAACACGCTCAGCATTTCTCAAGCTGGGGGAACTGAAGAAAAAATTCAAGCCTCGACTTTCGTTATTGAAGGATTCTCTGGGCAAATTATTGAATGATGCAGAAAGTACCAAGAGAAGACGGAAGGAATAGAGAGTCACTGTACCATAAGGAAATGGTTGATGTTCAGTCATTTCAAGAGGTAGCATATGATCGAGAGACAATCATACTGCAGGAAAAAGTCCAAGGTGCATTGAAGGATTTAGCAAAGAACAAGGCACCGGGATCTGATGGAATAAAAATTGAAATATTTCAAGAAAGTGAGACGCGACTGGAGGCACTCACTCATCTATGCCAAGAAATTTGGAAAACAACTATCTGGCTGGCTGATTGGAAAAGATCCATATTTGTGCCCATTCCAAAGAGAGGTGACCCAATGGAATGCAGAAATCATTGGACAATATCTATGATATCCCATGCGAGTAAAGTTTTACTAAAGGAGCTCTGGTAGCATAGTGGTTACGAATCGGGCTGCGAACCTTAAGGTCAGTGGTTTGAAACTACCAGCTGCTCCGCGGGAGAAAGATGAGGCTTTCTACTCCCGTAAAGATTTACACCCTCGGAAACCCTATACAGGGTCGCTATGGGTCGGAACCGACTCGATGGCACATAACAACAACAACAAAGGTAATACAGAAACAGCTACAACCATACATTGACAGAGAACTTCCAGAGGTTCAAGCTGGATTCAGAAGAGGCCGTGGAATGAGGGATGTCATTGCTGATGTCCAATGGGTCTTGGCTGAAAGTAAAGAATATCAGAAAGATGTTCACTTGTGCTTTATTGACACCACAGTAGCTAACACCAAAACCCCTTTTCCAGAACAGAAAGGTAAGAGAACAAGCAAATCTTTGGACACAATGAGTGAAGTAATCAGTATGGAGCTCTGGTGGCTGTTTCCCCTACCGAGAAAAAGGACAATGTGGCTGTGTTGTGGGATGGCTTCCCAGGGGCTTCATGGGATATCTTCTGATCTCGACTCTCCAGGCAACATTCCCTGGTGCTCAAAGGCAGGGGAGATGGCTCCAGTGATCTCCCAACTCCTCAGAGGCCTCAAAGTCTAGGTGTTATTCCATAGTGCCTGAAACCCCAGGTTGCATTACCACTTCAGGTCATCCTAGTGACTGCCAAATCCATCCACAGTCATGTCAGATGAGCCAGTTATCTCCTTGTCACTCTCTGTGCTGACTGCTGAACAACCAACCAAATCCAAGGGCATGGCGCTCGTTCAGAGAGGACCAGATACAAAGAGGATGGAACATGATCCTCCCTATCAGGGTGCCTGTCATCTAAGCCAAGGAAACACAAACAGAATGAATGAAATGGTATGGGGGGCCAACAGCAGTTCATTTTCAACACCAGAATATCACAATGATTAACTGTGTAATGAATAATACAGAGAATTAGAGGAGAAACTCCCTGAAGACAGAAACTGCTATTACTAAAGAAACCCAGTGGTCCAAGCCCTAAGAGGAGCTCCTTATTATCCATTGTTTGCATGGCGCTCATGAGGTAATGGTGTGTCCCAAACACTTTGTTAATTGGTATTCAGGCCTCAGTGCCCTTCACGATGGCTCTGTTCCTTTTCTACTCTTCCCTCCATGCTTCCGACTCCAGAAAAATCTTACATTTCATGTAACTTCCTGATGAGCATGTGCTACCTAATTGCCACCCCAAAAGGAGCCAAAGTGATTTTACTGTTTATCTTCCCAACTGACAGTGTAGTGCTGATCTACGATTGTTACATTTTCGGGGGGGGTGTAAGCATGTGTAAGTGAGTGGGGTTAGTTTTGTACGTAAACATTGTAATCATCTAAAGCTATAATGACTCCTACGTTGAGACCTGGTTTGGCCATGCCAACTCAAGAGGTGACATCACTCCTGTGGAAAAATGATCTGTCACACAGGGCAGTCTTCAAGAATTATAATGTTTTAAGAAGACGCACAAGGAGCTCTGGTAGCGTAGTGGTTACGAATCGGGCTGCGAACCTCAAGGTCAACAGTTCGAAACTATCAGCTGTTCCGCAGAAGAAAAATGAGGCTTTCTGCTCCCGTAAAGATTTACAGCCTCGGAAACCCTGTACAGGGTCCCTATGCGTCGGAACCGACTCCACGGCACACAACAACAACAACAAGAAGCACACATTGAATGAACTTGTGAATCCTTTCATAGCAAAGGAGAGTTATAGAATGGAGACCCAGGCTAACATTTTGTATTGTGTTTTTTCTCGGGCCTAAGTCCAACCCAACCCCTTTCCCACAGTCTGGTGCTTATTCTTCCTGAAGAGGAAGGAGTGTAGACTTCCAAATCCAGGCTTTCTAGCAGCCTCCTTCCTGGTGCTAACGGGGAGTCAAAGCTTTGGGGAAATCAACTGGCAGGGTAGGTATAAAGCTTGCTGTTTAGGTTTTCACAGGAAAAACCTGGTAACCCCCACCTCCTCCAATTTCAGGTACCCCCCACTGGCATGCTCACCACTAGGGCGATAGCAATAGCCTTAGTACCCTTGGGGCCCAGGCCATGGTGATTGAGGTTCATATAGGGCTCCTCCATGTTCCGGATGAAGTAGGAGACAGGCACCACACCCACCAGCTTGCAGGCCTCCAGGTATAGCTCCCTTTGTCCAGTGGTAAAGTATTTCTCGGTATCTATGAAGAAAGACAAGGTATAGTAGGATTGCTCTTCCACTTTGGAATGTCAACCCTTTTGTGGATATGAGTCTAGAGGGTAACTCCAGTCCAGGAAGTTAGCCAGAAGGGGGAGAGGGAAACCCTATCCCCAAGAAATCCCAAGTGATGGCTCCCTTTGGGTAGGAGATGAGACCCTGGGTTTAGGCCCCAAGCTTTCCTGGGGGGGGGGGGGGCGGACTAGTGTGCCCCTCCTTCTCAGGCTATGTACGCTTTGACAGATCACAAGAATGTACTGAGTCCCAGCCTTCTTGTCCATTGGGGAAACTCTAAAGAGTCCAAATCAGACAAAAATAGATGGGTTTGAGACTGTTAGAGACTCCATTTCAGTTTTAGTTTTACTGTTGTTGTTAGTTGCCATCTAGTCAATTTCAGGAGTCCTGGTGGGCACCGTGGGTTAATGTGATGGACTGCAATGTCGGTTTGAACTGCAAGATCGGTGGTTCAAGCTCACCAGCTGCTCCTCAGAAACCCTCTACAGGGTCACTATGGGTTAGAACAGGCTCAATGGCACTTAATAACAACAAGTTAATTTTAACTCCTGGCGACCCCATGTGTGCATAATCCAACTGCTTCAGAGGGTTTTCAGGGCTGTGAGTTTTCAGAAACAGATCACCAGTCTTCCATGGTGTATCACGATGGGTTCCCACTGCCAGCCTTTCATCCAGCACTTAACCATTGGTGCCATGTAAGGCGTCATCACCAATATTAAAATGTTATGTGTAATAAATAAAGTTTTACTGAAGAGTAAGCGAGAAAGTACCAACTAAAATCCAAGTAGGAGAGAGTGGGCACCTTAAGATACAATTCATTGCCAGATGAAAAGACCCTCCATTGTGTAGTGAAAAATTAACTTTACCTGAAGAGAGGTCAAGGAATTTTGGTGGCACTTGGCTGTTAACCGAAAGGTTGGAAGTTCAAACTCATCAGTAGCTCTGTGGGAGAAAATACCTGGAAATCTGTTCCCGTAAAGTTTGGAGTCCTGGTGTGGTGCTGCAGGTTAACATGCTACAAGGTCGGTTTGAACCACAAGAGCGTCAGTTCAAGCGCCGTCACTCCTCAGAAATCCTATACAGGGTCACTATGAGGAGTCACAACTAACTTGATGGCACTTAACAATAGCAACAAAGATTGCAGTTTCTGACACTCTCTAGGGCAGTTCACCTTGGTCCTCTAGAGTTGCCATGAGTCAGCATCAGCTCCCTAGCACCTAACAACAACAACAAAGAGAGGTTTGGCCTTTGTCCTCAGCTACTGGAAGGTGATCGCTAGGTCCCTGGAGTACCCTGCCAGATAGGACTATCTTTCTTGCCTGGGGGCTTTAGCCATTGGACAGTCTAACAATGATTTAGAATCTCAGTTGCGAACTCCCAAGGATCTGGAGACTAAAGATAATTAGCTAGAACCCCTGAAAAGGGCTGGAGATTAAATAAAGACAGCTATGTGGACAGTGGAAGGAGCTCTGGTAGCGTAGTGGTTATGAATCGGGCTGCGAACCGCAAGGTCAGCAGTTCGAAATAACCAGCTGCTCTGCGTGAGAAAGATGAAGCGTTCTGCTCTTGTAAGGATTTACAGCCTCGAAAACTCTGTACAGGGTTGCTGAGTTGGAACCGACTCCACGGCACACAGCCACCACCATGTAGACAGTGGAGTCCTGGTGTGGCGCTGTAGGATAAGCACTTGACCGCAAGGTGGGTTTGAACCACAACGCTGGAGGCTCAAAGTCACCAACCACTCCTCAAAAACCCTATACAGGGTTGCTATGAGTCGGCAATGACTTGACAGCACTTAATAACCACAACAATGTGGGCAGTAGGAGATCTGGCGTGGCACTGTTGGATAAGCACTGGTCTGCTTGCTAACCAGAAGGTCGGCAGTTCGAACCCACTAGCCACTCCTACACAGGGCCACTATGTGTCGAAACCAACTCGATAGCACTTAACAACATGTGGGCTGTAAACGATTGAACCCCAGTAAAAAACTCTGAACAGTAAAGGCATCAGTATGTATTGCAACACACAGTAGCTGAGAGGAGGTATGAGAGGAGGTAGTGCTCTCTGGGACTCTTGGCTGGGGGGGGGGGAAGGGGGGTAGGGATGACGTAAGGCTCACATTGAACCCCTTCCAGACTTTGCTTTACGCATCTCTTCCTTAGGCTGCTTTTAATTTGCGTCTTTTCTCTGTAATAAAACTGTAATCCTCAGTATAGCACTTTTAATGCATTCTGTGAGTCGTTCTAGTGAATTATTGAGCCAGAGGGTGAATGTGGGGAATATGTAGCCAGCTGGTCTAAAGTGAAAAGGGTCCTGGGGACCCCTGAATTTGCAGCTGGTGTCTGAAGTGATGGCAGTCTTTTGGAGACTGCTCCCCCAGACAGTGCAGTTTTTCCTTTACACCCTCCCGTCAGCAGGAAACAAGCTAACAGTCTTGCGTTTGAGTGGACTTTTCTCTTTTCAAGGGTTTGCCTGTCATTTTTCCTCATATAAAGGACTGTCATCCTTATTTCACTGGGGACAAATCTAGCACAAGATCATATGACACTGTTCTGTTCTAAAACTAGCCAATCAACCAAGCTCTTTGGGGTCTTTATTCCTTTAGTTTTAGACCAACCTGGCTCGAGGTCAATGAGAATCAACCTTCCTGGTTCCTGGGTGCCCCAACAGCTGTGCTCTCATTAGGCAAGCCCAGTCCATGGCAAAGTTTGCTGTGGCCAACTTGAGTCTATGTCTGCGTCTGTTTTCCTTCAGAAGGCAGGGTCTTTGGCCAATCCATCACAAACATTCCTCCAGCAAACAATGAGAGCTTTGTTGGTTAAAGGACAAGACATTTACAAGGAAACTGATCTTGCATGCACTGCTACAAAGTGACTTTCTTGTTTGGCTGTAGAGCAATGTTCCTCAACCTCAACACATGGATTGGATAATTCTCTCTTGTGGATATTTATTAGAAAATCTGATCTCCATTCAGTAGATGACTGTGGTGGTTGGTGCTTGTGTGCCATTGAGTTGTTCTGACTCCTAGTCCCAGATTAAGGTTTCCAAGGCTGTAAATCTTAACCGGAACGGACAGCCTTGTCCTTTTCCTGAGGAGCAGCTGGTGAATTCAAATTGCTGATCCTGAGGTTAGCAGCCCAACTAGACTACCAAGACATCTTCCAGATGACTGTAGCAATCTGCCAAATGTCCTCTTGGGGGCAAAATTGTCTCTGGTTGACAACTTTTGTGTAGGAAAAATAGCCCATTATGAGTGAGCAAACTCTGCTTCCTTTTCCCTCTCTGTAGTCTCACCACCAGCCTGCTACTCCCACCCAGACACATGCTTTCCCTGCCTCAACCTCAGCATCTCAGCATCAGCTGCCGGAGCACAGGAGCCAGAGAGCTGGGGCCAAGTTTCTACTCCAAGTCATGAATTTTTGACATCAAATTCAGTCCTTAGAGATTCTACTCCACCAAAGCAGGACACATATCCCATCTTTGCCCCTTGAGATGCATTCTGCTCTGATGCTGGTACCAGATGTGTCCTTTTCTAGCTGTATTCAGAATGGATATATTTTAGAGGCAATTTGCAACAGTCATCCCTAGGTGAGGGCATGGAAGGAATGAGATAGAAGGCGGAGCCTAAGGTGAAGCATCCAGTGTTTCTATTGCCACCTTCTCCAACCAAGTACAGTCAGGTGTAGAAAGAAACATTTGTGGCAGCTGTAAAGTGCAAAAGAATTCTTTAAGAGCATTAAGAAGAGGGGTGAGAGGTGGGGAGGAGGTCTGTGTAGAAGGAGGAAGTTGTGTGTTGATCATAGTGGGGAGGGTTAGGAGCTAGCACTATGTAGATGAATTTTACAGTCTAATTTGGCAGAAGCATCTGTTGCATCTCTGTTGCCTTTGAGTTTGAGCCCATGCTTACCAAACAGTTGGCAGTTCAAACCCACCAGCAGCTCTACAGGAGAAAACACCTGGAGATCTGTTTCCATAAAGATGACAACCTAGGAAATTCTAGGGTGACAGTTTAGGAAACCCTAGGGTGACAGCCTAGGAAACCCCACATGCAAGAACCCAGGAGAGGAAGGGCAGCTGAGAAGTGTGACATGGCCCCAGCAGGCGCGGCCAGCGTCATTCTTCCCTTGCAACTTGAATGTTCTCCTTGTCACTTCCCTCTTGGGGAACCTGCAAGGAATAGGGTGGGGGTGTTGTCTGCAGTGATGGAATCTTTGCTCCAGCAAAACCAGCCCCTTCCTTTCCCTCGAGGACCCAGACACACTTCGATTTGTCAGGGGAGAGTATGGAGTGCTGAAGTAAGGGAAGTAAGAACTCTAAGGGTGTGAAGGAAAGTCACACCGACTCGGATGGGTCACAGAAACACTTGAGAGCCCCTATAATGTGGAATATGGAAAGCAGATCTGCAGAATGGGGTGAACATGAGATCAGTAAGCATGGATCCGGTGGCTGTGGGCAACTGACATGATCTCTCTGAACCTCAATTTCCACCTTCGTAAGAAAGTCCAAACACCAAACTCATTCTTGTAGGTTCCAATTCACAGTGACCCTGTGAGACATACCAGAACTGCCCCCATTGGGTTTCCAAAGCTGTGATCTTGACAGAAACCAATGACCACCTCTTTCTCACTTGGAGCAGCTGGTGGGATTGAAACACTGACCTTTCAGTAATCAGCTAAGTGCTTAACCACTGCACCACCAGTAAATAAGTAAGAGGGGGATGTTGACGGTGATTTCTTGGGAACATTGCAAAGATCACATAAGATGCTGCATATGGAAACATTTGTAGTTGTTGTTAAGTGCCGTTGAGTCGATTCTGACCCATAACGACCCTGTATAGGGTGTCCGAGGAGTAACCGATGAGCTTGAACTGCCGACTTTGCAGTTCAAATAGCTTTGCAGTTTGGTGCATTAACCTTAGAAAACAAAAATTCCTCTTTTTTTAGTGGTTTAACTTTCAGTAGGCTGATAGGAAGATGTGACATAAACTCGTCACAGGTATTCTGACCACATCTCCCCTTTCAGGACATCCTGCTGAGCAGGGACCCAAGGAAAGGAACAGTGATCGCTCCCGAAAAGCTGGAGTTCTCCACTCCCCCCACCCCCCCAAAATACCCACTCACCTTCAATCTCCAAGTCTGTTTCCGAACTCTCCCTGGTGGGCTTCTCTTTTTCAACAGTCAGGAGGCTTTCAGCCTCACAGTAGAGTGTTTCGTCACTGTTCTGGGATGCTAGCGCAAGCTCGGTCTCATCTGGAAGAAGAAACCCTTATCTCCTTGATCTGGAATGAAACCTGCCACCAGTTTCCCTCCATCTCTGTGGCCAGGGAGATTCTGTTCTACAAACTCTTCCTCTCCATCTGCAGGAAGATATTTCCTGCTAGATCCGGCCCATGGGGTCTTGTGCCTAACACCCTCTTGTAAGTGTTCTCAAGAAACCCGCTGCTCGAGCCTGTACTCCCTTTCTACAGCCTGCTTTGGAGATCAGCGTTTTCCTCGCTACTTTGGTTTCTTACTTGGTTGGGTGGGTGTCAGGGTCTATTGTTCTTTCTGGTGAAGGGTCATGTTCTAAATGGGAAGGGGGTTGGGCAAGGAACAGGGCAGATGGAGGCTTGGATCAAATATAAAACAAACTAGAACAAGAACAGTTCAGGCAGGCAAGGATCACGTGGAACCTCGGCAACCTAAGACAGAGCCATTGCCATGCTGCAATGAGTTTCAGTGACAGGTAAGACTGAGGAATTCGCACTGACCACCTAAGACAGGCAGCATCCCTTAAACAAATAATAAATAAGGGGGAATCTGATGCAGACCGTGCAGACCCGGTCAGGAGGTCAAGACCCTGTGGGCCCAAGCGTTGCTGACCGTCCAAACCATAGGCTCTGAGGATCAGACTTTAGCCACCTAGCAGACATAGCAAAATGTCCCTTATCTGATCATTCAGTTATGCTGGTTAGTAATTCCATACGAGCCCTGGATACCCACAGATAAATGTAGAAACCTTCCCTAAAAGCCGAGACTGTAAATTCCAAAAAGGCAAAGTTTCCCCCCCCCCCAAAAAAAAGCTAAAGAGGATAGAGAGAAACTCTGTTAACTGATGGTATGTGGAGGGGATTATAATCAATGTAATGAAACAAGGTATATGAATGTTTGAATGTGAAACCGATGATGTGCCCTGTAAACTTTCACTCAATCCACAATAAAAACCTTAAAAAAAAAAAAAAAGAACAGCCCAGGCAGTGAAAGAGGCAGCTTGATTCTTAAGAATTTAACCTAGCTTCACTTCCTTTTAATCTAGAATTTATTTTATGACCAGAAAGAAGAGGGGCTTGCAGACTCTTGGATTGGGGTCTACTGCCTTGATGAAACCCACATCTTGTATGATGAGAAGTTGGTGAGAGCAACAGAGCTTTCCGCACATCAGTCCCCTGGACTTGCCAGATGTGGCATTTCCACCACTATCCCACCAATCTGGTACCAGCCACAGGCTCTCTAAAATCATTTACAGGGTTCAGAGCTCAGTTGTCTTGCAGGAGCAGGACTAGACTGTTGGGGGGAATCCACTGTACTACTTGTTAAGTGGACTGAGTTTTGACAACCCAGGTTTCAGGATGGTAGGGTTCCGAAAGAGTCATTCTTAGTCCTTGTCCATTGATTCAGCCCCAACATTTATTTCCCAGCCTGCGAGACAAGATCCGTGTCATACGAGCTGGGAAAAGCAGTGACTGGTAATTACAAGTCTGTGTTTTTGTTCCAGCTCAGCCGCTAAACTCACTCCCAGGAATTTAGTGGACATTTCTGAGTCTTAATATTCTTGTTAAACACTTTTAGAATTCTGTCCAACCGGTGGAGTGCTGACAAATTTTAACAATTGGCTCTCCCCTGATTTGCAGTGTTAGCCAATGTATGGTATAAATATTCTCAACATGGTTGATTTCACACTTCCAATGTGATGTCAAAGATGAAAATGAAAGTCAGAGCAGGACTTTGAATGGGTTCATTACCTTGCTGAGAATTTGCATTTCCACCCCCAGATATATTGAAACAGAATCTACCTTTTATCAAGGTCCTTGGGATTCTAAGCCCTGGGTTACAGCTAGCAGGAAGGAACCAGTTCTAACACAGCACTGAATCCACCCTCTAATGCCCGGTGTACCAATCCCTGAACCCGTCAATATAACACCTCATCCCAATTTTAGAGGATCCCAGGTAAGGAGAGATAGGGGCTTCGGGGCCCATGTGACCACTGGATGTTATACTGAGGCAGTTTGGAAGGGCCTGAATGGTGAGAGGTGGGATGCTTTTTCACCTTTTGTCTTGAGTTCAAGTAATTCGTAACTGTCCATGGTTCCAGGACCCTCTCGGGCTTGCTGCCAGCTTCTTACCACCTTTCTGCTGCTTCCCTAAGAAGCACACCTGTCCATTTACCTTTGTCTCCAATTTTCTCTCACCCTGCCCTAGCATAGGCAAATCCCAGGGGTAAGCCTGTAGTTTACTCTTCCATTCCACCCAGCCCTGGGGAAAGTGGGCTTTGGTGGGAATTGGACATACATGGATCTGACACCAAGTCTGTCTGGGAGAGTAAGCTACTTCCCACACTCATAAGGGATAGTGGTATGACTCCATCCTGGGAAACCTGTCAAAAGATGCCCACCCACCTGCAACTCTCTGATTTAGGGGCCACTTACATTGCGTCTTCAACATTCCATGACCTCACGCAGTCATTGTGATTCACGTGGGAGGGCCTGGTAACAGCAGACCTCCCACCCTCTTGGTGGTCTGGCTGTCACCTTTTTCATATGTCTTCTGGAGCCAAGCCCAGGCTTGGCTGTAAGTGCTCAAGTGTCGTGGGGGGACCTCTCAGTGGTGTTGTGTTTTTCTCTGAGTCAGGACCAAACCCAAGCCCTAATCAGGTGACTGTGAAGAATCGCCACCATGTTCTTCTCTCAAGGTGGCTGTGCTTCAGGTACGAAGTATTTCAGTGATGGATGAAATCCGTTTTCTCTTACCCACATCTCCCCGTTTTTGCCCTCTTGGGAGAATAACCTCAAAATTGGAACAGAAGATCAAAAGCAAAGCACGACAAACATATGTTCCGTACTACAGTTTGTTGCAGCCAAAACATTGTTCCATTCAAATGACTGGTCTGCCTTTCGTAATCCACTCAACCAGCATTCCCACTCTTGGCTGTTTTCACAAGTCTTGGAGTTGAACTTCAGTTGCAGAGAACCTGGAAGTGGGTTTGCTCCTTCTTGATACGCTTTCAGCACATCAACGGTCAGGTCAGTGACTAGAGGGCTTGGGGACATAAGCATCCCTTCTTGCCACTCAGAAGAATGGTAACAGTTTAGGAATTTGTGTAGGGAAATCAGAGACTCCTGTAACAAACAAAATAAAGAACATGTAAATGAGATGTTTCTCATTCCTTAAGTGATTCATTCTGAATGATGTGTATTGAGCACCTACTAGGTACAAGGTATTAAGACAGGCATATGGGGGTGGTGGGATGCAGACATGGTTAAGCTATGGACATTTCAAGGCTAGTATAATACAATATAGAAACTGACAGGGCTACTCCTTGGGTGTATAGTCCCTGGGCAAATATTTTTGATGGAGACTGTTCATATAAATAATTGGAGTCACCCCATATTGGTGTGGCTATGCCATTCTGGTGACCTAATCTCTTTTTTTGTTGTTTTTTTAAGCTTTTATTATGAATTGAGTGATAGTTTACATGGGAGAACATCAGTTTTTGCACTCATCCTATCGTATTTTGTTTCACTGCAATGATTACAATCTCCTCCATGCATCATCATTCAACAGTATTTGCATCTATTCCCTCTGTTTTGTTGTTGTTGTTGTTTTAATGTACACAGAAACACTCAGGAATATATAATCATTTAAACAACCAAAGGACACATTCTGCAAGCCTGCCTCCTGGCCACCAGCATACAGTCTTTCTCTTTCCATGAGTCCAGAGTCCCCAGCTGCTCCCTCTCTCTATGCCCTCATCTCTGCCTCCATCTCTGGTGTCACTGCTTCTCTGTATAGGGTCCCATGTTCTGCTTGTGCTCTTCTCCCTTGATGGTCCTAGGGTCCTTTGTTCCTAGGCTGTAAGATTAACTACTCCCCCCACTTTATATTACAGATATTCTACTTCTATAGTTGTGACCACAAAATGACTGGGTAGGACTATGCAAATGTGAGGTGCTTGTGACCCACCCAGGGGATTGGGGAGATTGTTAATATTGTAAATAAAGGGCATGACACCCTTGTAGTGGTTGTTGTTGTTGTTAGATGCCATTGATTTGGTACTGACTCATAGTGACCCTATGCACAACGGAACAAAACACTGCCCAGTCCTCACCAACCTCATAATCTTGTAGGGGTGGGACCATGCAAATAAGATGTATGGAACCCTAACAAGAGGATTGGTCAGTTTTGCCATCCCATTAGGCTTAAAGAGACAGAAAAGGGATACCACCATACCTGAGTCAGAAAGGGGAATCTCACCCCCATCAATTAAGAAGAGCTGGGAATTGCATCCTTTGGACTCAAGATGCCTAGGTGGAACCACCTCTATCAGGAGATGGTTGTGACTCTGGAGAGGGTGCTAGATGGTGAGAAGCACCAACTGAGAAACAGAGGCAGCAGAATCAAGAAACTGGCACGAGATAGGGCAGTGTGCTTCCGAGTCTGTGGAGGGAGAAAGCGGAGTGCCTTCGGGCTGGAGGCCTACTGGCAGAGTGGGATAACTCTGGGCACTTGTCGAGTGTGCCGATCCATGGGAGCTAGAGCTGAGTGCCTTCCGGCCAAGGATTACAAATGGAGGAGGTGCCTCAGGACACTTGGTTGGCAGTGCTAAAAGAGCTTTGTAACACTTGCCTGTGCAGGGTAGAGGCTAGGCCATGGGCCAAGGACCAGAGAGAGAGGGGCTTTCAAGCACGGCTGAGGAGAGGCTGTCCTGACAGAAGAACTGTATCCTGAGTTGTATCCTGAATTGTAATTTGTTACTTCTCTAACAAGCCCCATAGTTATTAATAATGCCTGTGAGTTCTGTGTGGCTGATGCAACAGATTATTAAACCCAGCAGAGAAGTAGAGAGTGCATGTCGTTGTTGTTAACTGCTGTTGTGTGGTTCCAACTCATAGTGACCCTGTCTAGGGCTTCCTAGGAGTGGCTGGTGGGTTTGAACCACTGCCTTTGCAGCTAGTTAGCAGTCCAGTGGGAGGGATGATTGATGTAAAAATTGGTAAGAAGTTTGGAAGTTAGAGGTATGAAGGACTTCTGCCTTCTAGGGACCAGCCTTGAATGGCTGATGATCTTGATTCTGTCTCTCCCTTGAAGTTAGATGAGGTCAGATGCTACCCTCACACTCTTTTACGGGGGTAGAAGTTGAAATGACACTATAAAACCCCAAACATTAAACTTGTTGCTGTAAAGTTGATTTCAACTCAGAACTTTTCTATAGGACAGCGTAGAACTGACCCTAGGGTTTCCGAGGCTGTAAGCTTTGTGGCAGCAGATTGCCACATCTTTCTCCCAAAAAGCAGCTGGTGGGCTTGAACCAGTTCAGTTAGCAGCTGAGCACTTAACCACTGGGCTACCATGGCTCAACTGACTGTATACTGAATCCAAAGAAGACAGTCCCAGCGAGTGAGGAGAAGAGCAGTTATTTTGACTTGAAATGAGTCAAAGAGAATGTTGACTGAGGCAAGGTATGTTGTTGTTGTTTAGTGCTGTTGAGTCAGTTCCAACTCATAGCAGCCCCGTATAGGGACAAAGTATAGATGTCAAACATTTTGTGTTGTTGTTCGGTGCCGTTTAGTCAGTTTCGATTCAGAGCTTCCCTGTCTATACAAAAGAACAAAACATTGTCCAGTCCTGTATCATCCTCACAATTGTTCATTGCTATAGCCACAGTGTTAATCCATCTTGTTGAGTCTTCTCTTTGTCACTGACCTTCTACTTTATCAGGGGTTCTGGTATGTTAGGATAAGCACTGGACTGCTAATTGCAAGGTTGGTGGTTCAAACCCACCAGCTCCTCAGAAACCCTATAAAGGGTTGCTATGAGTCAGAACTGACATGACAGCACTTAACAGCTACTTTGTTAAGCATGATGTCCTTTTCCAGGGACTGGTTCCTTCTGATAACATGTCCAAAGTACATGAGATACAATCTCACCGTCCTCACTACTAAAGAGCATTCTGGCTGTACTTCTTCCAAGACCAATGTGTTGGTTCTTCTGGAAGTCCATGGTATATTCAATACTCTTCTCCAACACCATAATTCAAAGGCATTGGTTCTCTGGTCTTCCTTATCTGGTCCAGCTTTCATATACATAGAAGATGATTGAAAATACTATGACTTGGGTCAGGTGCACCTTAGTCTTCTAAGTGACATCTTTGTTTGTTTGTTTGTTTTAACGCTTTAAAGAGATCATTTTCAGCAATTAGCCCACTTCAATGTGTCTCTTGATTTCTTGACTGCTGTTTCTATGGGTGCTGATTTTAGATCAAGGCAAAATAATTACTTAATATCTTCAGTATTTTCTCTGTTTATCATGATGTTGTTTACTGGCCCAGTTGTGGGGATTTTTGTCTTCTTTATATTGAGATATAATCCATACTGATGGCTATAGTCTTTGATCTTCATCAGTAAGTGCTTCAATCCTAATGCTGTGTTCTTCTTCGTATAGTCCAACTTTTTGTATTATTTGTTCAGCATACAGATTGAGTAAGTATAAAAAGATACAACCCTAGTTCGTACCTTTCTTGATTAATTTATTTTTTTAACCAAACAGTATCTCCTTGTTCTTTGTGAAAGACTAAATTTTGGTCTATGTATGGGTTTCTCATGAGCACAATTGAGCATTCTGGAATTCCTATTCTATCTCACTGATAACATGATAATATCCACAGTCTGTCATGATTCACACAGTTGAATGCCTTTGCATAGCCAATAAAACACAAACATTTTTCTCAACATCTCTGCTTTCAGCCAAGATCCATCTGATACCAGCAGTTGTTGTTGAGTGCTGTTGAGTTGGTTCCAACCCATAGTAACCTTGTATAGGGTTTCCGAGGAGCAGCTGATGAGCTTGAACCACCAACCTTGCAATTCAAACAGCTTTGCAGTCTGGCGCATTAACCCACAGTGCACTCCCCCCCACCCCCCCCAGGACTCCAGCACTAGTATCCCTTATATCACACTGTCTTCTGAATCCAGCTTGAATTTCTAGAAGTTCCCTGTCAATGTACTG